TGATTCTTTGTCTATCGAATTTTCATCATTTGTGTAGATAAAACAAGAAGAAATGTGAAAAGAGGCATTTGGTTGCAAAATCATTTTTCCAGTTATTTTAATATAATACCCTAATTTAAAGGTTAATTAGGAATTTAGAAATTTAGAAAGTCTAATTGAAAGAAAATAGAAAGTTTTGGGCGCCTAGTTAAAAAGTTTAGGGCCCAATTGAACAAATTTGAACTTTTTAGAGCTTGAATGAAAATAATCAAAAACTATCAGGACTAAATCGCATGTGATCAAGAACTGAGGGATCAAATTAAGAATATTAAAATGCTAGATTTTAACCCATCGTCAACCTTTGGATCTTGCGTGGTAATTAATGTTGATTGCAAGCAATTCGGAGAATATTGGCTCGATTATGGCTATACATAGGTTTGAATGTGGTGAAAAAAAGGTAATCCTAAACCATTTGGCCTATTGTCATCTCAAATCATCGAACTAGAGCAATTCATTCCCAAAGCAGTCGTGGCCGTGTGACTGACAATTTGTAACAATCAGCCTTTTTTCGCCCACATCACCACCACCAATTAGGACTTTACCAGTCTCCAATGTTGATTGATTACCCTACAGGAGTATTGCTAAGTAGGTCCATTGAATTTAGGATTAATTTTTGAGCTAGGACTTCCGAGTGAAGAAAAATACTCAATGGGGGAAACATGGGTCTACACAGGATCTGGTTCTTTAAACCGGATCCATGGGTTTGATTATGGGCTTGGACCGGATTTGGTCTAGGCCAAACTTTTGGACTAGATTTTGGACTAAGCTGGGTCAAGTTAAGACTGGGCCGAATGGGTTTTTGGGCTTGGACTAGTTGGGCTTGGGTGGTTAAATACTGGACCACAGGTTGTAAATACTGGGTTTGGGCTACCTAATGGATTCGGATTCTATATCTGAAATAAATGGTAACAATTGGTTTAATACCAATTCAAGGATTGGTTAACCAGTTCAGGTCTTAATGATTGGTTTAGTGTTTTATTCCTTGATTAAGCACTTTATTTGATCGATTCATGACTTATTAAGAAAGTTTTAGTGTTTAATCAACCAGCTTAATGCTTGTAAAGACTAGTTCAGTATCTATTGATTGGTTTAGTGTTTATTAGGATTGATTTAGTGCTTATTAACCTCAGTTCAGTGTTCTATTAGCTGGTCTAGGGTTTTATCAGATCGGTTCAAGAATGTATTAACCTAATTCAGGGTATTAAAGGTTTGGTTCAATTCTTCAGTAACCAGTTCATGGTTTAATTAGCTTGGTTTAGGATATTAGAGGTCCGATTCAATACCTTAGTCGCCGAGTCAGCATCTTAGCAGTTGGTTCATGGCTAATTCAACACCTTAGTGCCTAATCTAGGGCCAATTCAATACTTTAGTGATCAATTTAAGGGTTAACTAGTTCTATGCTTTATGAGACTGGTTTAAGACTTTAATGATTCGTTTATGACTTTACTTGATCAATTTGGAACTCTAATGGCTCTAGTATGGGTTTTAAAGCATGAAAGTCTAACTTTGTACTCGGGTTTTAATGAAAATTTATATAAATTTGAGCTTTAAATATATTAGAGCCCTAAAATAGATATTTTATTATTTTTGTGATTTTAGATTCCTCCAAAATTTCTCATTGAGAAGACCAAACTGTTTGAATTCCATCGCTTTTGTGACTAATAATGTGTATTTATGAATGTTTACAATTTTTAATATCTATTATAACTCTTAGAATTTTACTTGATATATATTATTTGATGTATTTGATTTTTGGAAAAATGAATTAAATTATTTGTTAAGTGCGTAACAAGAGACGCATATGTAATTAAATTGAGTTTATTTTGAAAAACTGTTGTACCTTTTTTTTTATATTGATTAGAATTTTTGAAATTATATTTTATGTTGATAAACTATTTTTGTTTATCACTGAAAAATTGTTTAAGAGGATTTTGGAATTCATAGAATACTGTAACTAATGACAGTAGGCATTAGATTGGATGTACCTTGGACTGTATCCCCTGCTAGTAATTGTAATGTTAGACTACCATATTAGGTAACATAATTAGATTGTGTTACTATATATTGGCAGAATAAGCATTTGCTAGAAAATCGAATCATTGTACTGTTTTATGTAGTAAATTACAAACTCCCAAACTTTCTTTTAATTATGAACATATTACTTTATTAAATGTTATAATTTGTATACTTGTCTTTTATTCTTATAGATACATGTTATTGTTTATTAAATTTATCAACTCAGTCCCTTATCATTTTTCAATTTAGAAATTGACCTACTTTTGAATTTTGCCATCTGAGAGAAGATTATTGTTCTTGCAGGGCTCATGCCTAGTTTGAAAGTTAATTACAGGTTTTTTGATTTGTTTTAAGAGATTTCCTTAAAAAGCTCAATTGACTAAAAATAGGTTTATTGAGGACAAATTGTCAAGTTTTTTGAGTGAGTTTTGATCTATTCACTGGTTTAACTATTATTTTGCCCTGTGTACTTGTTTAAAGTGTCCTTTGTTGATACTAAAGTAATGAATGATTGTTAGGCTTAATAGGGTGAATTCTCCCTGACCTTAGTGCCATTCTTGATCCAACTTTTGAGTTATGACATTAAGAGAATAAAATAGGATATTTGTTTTTTTATTTTCATTCTTTGTTTTATTTTATTCTTTTTTGTATTTTTTGAAAATTTTTTATATCTAAAAAATTTTATTCTTTATATACCATATTTATTATCAATCAGAACTAGTTCTAAGAGCAACAAATTTTTTTTTAAAAAAACTCTTGAAAATAGTATTGTTTCCATAATTTGTTTTTGAAAAATATAGTTTTGGAAAACAATTTTCTGAAAATATTTAGCAAAACATAGCTTTTGAAAAGAATGCTGATCTACGCAAGAATAATTTATATAAGAATAATTATTATATGTTTGTTATATTAAAATTATTTTATTCTATGTTGGACAAAATATAATCTTTTATTTTAATGAATTCTAAATATAAATTTAGGAATAAGTAAGTGTTGAAATTTTGAAATCTAATCAGAATTGAGACAATTTTAATCCGTTATATTATGCACAAATTTGTGTCCATCGGAATCCCACTTCATTAGGGTTAGTTTTAGGTCGTGATTTGTAATTGAATTGAGTTGAACTATTCTTATCCTCGTATAAAATTAAGGTTGATTTTGGTGTTTCATTATTTTTTAAATTTTGGGATTTGAATCCTTAAGTTTAAAAAGTCAAAAATTAAGGGGCTTTTTTAAAAGACATTATATTAGAGTTTTTAAAATTTAATGGCATATTTTTATTAAAAAATATTGAGTTTTTTTTTATTACACTTTAAAAAGGATTTTTTGTGTTTTGCACGTAATCTTGGCATTTAATAGCTCAACTTTATTACAAATGCACCCTCGTTATAAAAATAAGAGACAAAATTTAAAGTTTGCATTATGAGAGGGTAAAAGGACTTGGACCTCATTTTATTTATTTCCACTCTATTTAATGTTCTTTCAATTTTATTTATATTTTTACTTATTTTCTTTCATAATTTAATTAATGAATTTCTAACCTAAACGTGCCAAATTTTATTATTTTTTAATTTTTGGGCATATATAATTTGTAATATTATATGTTTTAAATCTTATATGACAATAAATTTCTAATTTATTTATATTTCCTTTTAAATATAATTTTTTTTAATTTTTTAGAGAATAAGACCATGAAAAAAAGTAAAAATTTAAAAATATTTAATTTTTTTTATTACTTTTTATTATTGAGTAAAATTGATAATATGAATTTAAAATTTTTAAATAAAAAGAGCATATTTTCTATAAGTTATATTGAAAATAATTTTTAATAATAATACCAAATATTTGTTACTTTTGAAAATAGAAAAATAAATAATAACTACATTTCAAATTAAAGAAACATAATACAAATTTTTTCTTTTCTCTAAGTCTTATTCTATAATAAAAATAAATAAATTATATTTTAAAAAATAAATAAATTAGAAGTTTATTGTTGTAGAATATTTATAATATACAATATCATAAATTATATTTACCCAAAAAATTTTTTAAAAAAATTGGCACATTTGGTTTATAATTTATAAATTAAATTATGAAAAAATAAGTAAAAATATAGAGAAAATGGAGATAATGTTTAATAGAGTGGAAATAGAGAAAAGGGTCCAAGTTTTTTTTTTTTTTGTCTTTTTACTCTCTAAAAATATAAAATTTTAATTTTATCTATTAATTTTTATAATGAAGATATATTTTAATAAAGTTGAGGTATTAGAGGCTAAGTTTGTAATATTGGAATACAAAGTATGAAAATTTTCTATTTTTGAGGTGAAATTTATAAAAAGATGAAAATATTTGAACCCAAAAATTTCTTAGGATTTCTATGTTTTATATATTTTACTACATTCCTTTTTTTAAAAAAAGAAAATTCTGTTCCTCCTAATTTTCAAATCAATCTTTGGAAAAGGAGAGACGAGACGTGAGAGGGGGCCTACATTACCAGCAATGAGCCGTGCTCTGGCACGATCATTCGGCTCTCACCACCCTGTTAATAAAGAAATCTGCAACCAATGGAGATTTCAACAATAATAAACCCCCGCCTTCCCCCTCCTCCTTGTCGAGTCCTCTCACCCAGCTTCAATAATATCGTCTCGCGGAATTCTACCTCTCTCTCACGCGCTCGTACTCGCACTCACAGAGATCAACCCCCTGCACTAAATACCAACCGCTACAGCATGAGTCGTTGAAGAGTTCTTGTCCTTGTAGGTCTTTATCACCAGTGGGTTCATCATATCCCCCCTTTATCGGTAGTGTATTCTTTACTCTGACTTCAAATCGTCTCCACTCCTGCCACTGAACCCATAATCCTCTCTCTTCTTTTGCTCAATTTCTTCCAGTTCTCTTTTGTTTTATCTTCTATCTTCTAAGGGTTATCGGTTTAGTGAGCGATTATGAAGCGATCATCGTCTTCTTTGAAGAGAAGTAATGGTGGTGTGGAGAATAGTGGCCATCGTAACAATGACGTCGCGATCATTGATTGGGAGCTGAGGCCAGGAGGCATGCTTGTGCAGAAGCGCAGTGGTGTTGGGTCTGATAGTGGTGGAGCTTCTTCTGGAGGCCCCATGATTAAGATCAAGGTCTCTCATGGCTCTTCTCACCATGATATTACCGTTCCTGCTCAGTCCACTTTTGTATGATATTTCCTCTATTTTTCTTCCACTTTCCCTTTTCCCTTTTCTTTTTCTTTTCTTTTTTTTTTTGGCTTTCTTTTTTTTTTTATTTGAATATTTTTATGCCCTTGCTCTTTTTGCCCCCTTTTTTAATTTCTATGTTGGACCGGGGAAGTGATATATTCATATTTCTCTTCCTGCTTCTTTTAACTTCAGTGCTTTTCTTTTGCCATTAGAAAGTTGTTTTAGCTTTCATAATCCACGTATCGTAGAAACTGTTTCTTAGTGTGTGGCTCAACACCCAACCCCACACACCCACAGACAATGATGTTGATTTATGGTTGCTTTGATGAATAGGCATTTGAGCTTGAGGTATAAAAACTCAGACCCTAACCGCATCCTTTAGGAATCAGATGTAAGCAATTAATTAATTCACTCTCCAAATTCATTATTAGGAAACGCCAGCGAAGGTCAGCTACTGAAACCCTGAGAAGTTCAAGTAGGACATTTTAAATTCAAGTTACATGTGAGAGAAACTGGGATAAAGCCCTTAGTAGAAGCAGTCGTCCTTGGTTTTGATGGGTATCTTGGGAGTTTGAACTCAATCTGATCTGAGCAATCATCACCCACCAATTCGTTTTTCCGTTATACATATAAAACGAAATTGATGCTCAATGTTGCTTTTGGTTTAATCAGTCGTCCTTGGTTTTTGATGGGTATCTTGGGAGTTTGAACTCAATCAGATTTGGGCAATCATCCGCGTATAAAACGAAATTGATGCTCAGTAGTTGCTTTTGGTTTATTGAAGGGGATTTAAAAAAGGCTCTTGCCCGTGAAACTGGTCTGGAGCCCAAGGAGCAAAGGTTATTGTTTAGAGGAAAGAAAAGGATGATGGGGATTATTTGCACATGGTGGGTGTGACAGACTTGTCGAAAGTGATACTATTGGAAGACCCAGCCAGCAAAGAGAGGAAGCTTCAGGAGATGAAGAGAAATGCCTATGAAAATATCGCCAGAGTACATTTGGAAGTCGATAAGCTTTCAGACAAGTCAATATGCCTTCAGATTATTGTCTTTTTTTTAATTTCTTTTTTTTTAAAAAAAGGAAAAGAAATGAACCATATTGACACAGCAGCGTAATTGCTTCTAATTTTTGGTTTAGGTTGTTGCCTTGGAGATGGCTGTTGCAAATGGCGGCAAAGTTGCCAACAATGAATTTGTTCTCTTGACAGAGTTGTTTATGGTTCAGTTGCTTAAATTAGATAGCATTGAGGCTGATGGAGAAGCAAAAGTTCAGAGGCGGGCTGAGGTTAGTCACTGTTGCTCCTTTATATCATGGTTGTACTTGGTTATTATCTAAAATTTTTGAAAAGCTTCAAAATAAACTTCAGGAGATGTATATGTTAAACTTTGTGTTGGTGTATTCATGGGAGGGAGCAACTTACTTTTTGAATTTTGTGTGTATTGTCATGTGAGGTACGCTACTGATCGGAGAACTAACCCACTAAAACAGGCAAAAGGATACGTTGGCTAGTTAAAGAGTCCTGTGCATGAACATTAGCATACGTGAACAACTCACCTTGACATTGCTAATGCTACATAAATGGCCACTCATAAAAGCAGCTATTTGCCCACGATTCTCATAATCTTAACATCTTGATTTCTGAATACATATTTGGAAGATGATATATAAAAGACATCCTAAACCTCAATCCAATTTTCTTCTGCACATTCATATGACAAATAATGGTTAAATCTACTGTATGAGAAGAATGCCATATCAATCACATTAGACTTGCTAATTATGATTCAGAGAGCTGTCCACCCGTGTCATTCAGTATGGCCTTGCAATGATTGCCAGCTGAGTACATACCCTCTTGTGTGCTCATGGCTAGAAGATCCAGTTTGATCAAAATTCAAGAGACATTTAAGTAGCTATATTTGATTTTGTAGTTTGGGAGTAAGTTTTTAAATGCCACTAGAGGATTTGATACTATTGGAAGACCCAGCTAGCAAAGAGAGGAAGCTTCAGGAAGCTTCAAGCTGCTTTCTCGAGATTTATCAGTTATAGCATACTCCATTTGTCTTCTCTCGTTCTTTCCATGTTTTCATTGACTGGTTTGATCTTCAGTTTGACTGCTTCTCAACTTGGTGAGCCCATCTTCTCCATATTGGCTTCCCTACAAATGGGTGCTTTGCCTTCATCTTTAGTTACACGTTAGGGAGACATAAAGAATGGGTAGAATGGGCATCAAGATCAACTTCCAACTTCCCATGTTCCTACTTGGATAGCCATTATAAGTTCTTCTGATAGGGCCTCTGCTGGCATATAAAGAGTTGGTGAATACAATTATTCATCTTGGAATAAACATTCCATGAGAGATTTGAAAATGCATTAATTTTCTTTTACTTTTTCTTCATAAAAATAGCAACCAGAAAATGTACATTAAGCTAGTCTCATGTTGGGGCTTTCTTCATTATTTGTTTTCAGATGTATATATACTTGTATATATACTTGTATATTATATTTGTGATTTTATTATATATAGCAGAATCTGCCATCTTGGTACAGATAGATAATGAGGTAAGGGTAATAATATTATGGTCATTATTATTATTATCATTTATTTAAGGTATTTCTGCAGCCTACTGTCTACCCTTCATGGACGAAAATTAGAATAGAGTTGAAATACCTACCTCTTTGCCTGTCAGCGGCCAATTCATGGTCCAGTCATCTAGCATGGTCTAGAAATGGATGTTGATGAGTCTGAGTAGGCTTTTCCTTCTCTACAACTGATTTTAACAAGTAGTGTACATGATGTAACTGCTTCAAATGACAAATATATAGAGTTGCTTAATACAAATACTGACTTACATTTGACTTGTTTTGAAACTATATATTCACTTTCTCTTACTTCTTTTTACCCTTTGGTAAGAATTGAAGATTTATTCTGGGTGCACCGGTAATAAATCTACACACGAATTTGATGTATGACATACACCTGTTTGCTGTGAAAAGAAAACATACTAGGGAAATTCATGTTGCAATGATGGAAATGACATGCATTTGGTGTCCCCTTGCAGGTTCGCCGAATTCAGAATTTTGTGGATGCACTTGACAGTCTGAAGGCAAGAAATTCCAACCCTTTTAACACAGGTAATGCCCCTGGTTTGGTGAATACAAAGTGGGAGACTTTTGATTCAGTAGTTGGGAGCCTCAGTCCTCCAAACCCAAGACAATTCTCTGCTAAAGTTACTAAGGAGTGGGAACTCTTTAGCTAATTTTGATCGTTGCTACCGGTCCGCTGTGTATGATGTCGAGTTGAGAGTGTATATATGACTTCTGTTCTCCGTATTTGACTGTGGAGAGGCTTCTTGTGTGTATAAAATATTGTATCTGGCGTTTGAAAACACATTTTTGTCATTATAAATGAATAATTTGGGGGCTACGAGGCCGTAACCTGAAATGAGTTAAAGAAGATCAGGATTGTGATGTGATATGTAATACAAGTCATGCTGCATCGTCTTTCCCTTCTGTCAGTTTAAATTTGAAGCATGGTGGAAAAAATAATATGGACCATTGAGTCTTCTTACTCTTTTTGGTTTGTAGGATCTACTTTCGTCCATCAAAATAAAGAAAAAATGAAGGGAAAAAGAAGAAGACAAGTGCATTATGAGACTCCACTGTACGAGATTTGGGATAGGATTGTCAATGCAGCCCCACATTATCTTCTTAGTTTTAAGTCCAGACATTTCAGTAATAGATATACAATGATACAGTAGTCTTCATCTAAGAGAAACTAAAAACAAAAATAAAAAATTGGTGGATAGATTTTTTTTTTGTATCTAAAAAATGATAAAGGGCACTACTCTAATCAATTTTACTTAACTTTGAAATTAAATTTCCTTCTGCTTTGATAAAAACCTTCTAATTAAATCTTTACTTCACAAGGATTCGATAAGAAGTCCTGAACAAGGAATTAGATCTATAATAAACATAAACGAAAAGGAAAGAGATTTTGTTAAATGTTTGCAAGCTTAGGACGGTGCCCGTTAGCAAAATGAGGGCAGTGCAAGTTGGCAACAGGGGCCGGGGGTGCACCGTAGGAAACTAAGGACGGGTTGGTGCAGGGCAGCAAGCTCAGAGCGCTGCACATTAGCAAACTGAGGGCTAAGATGGAAGCAGACCATCAAAGCAATCCTCACCCTCAGTTATGTCGACTACGCACTCACCAACCCGAAATCTCCAAAGACGATGCTCACCACCGTAAAAACTAGGTGCTCACCAAAGCCAAGTTCCACCGTCTCATCCTTCTATCTCTTAACCTAAGGCCACATTGAATTTTTAATGTTTCATTTTATGAGAGCTAAGATTCTAATGTTTATTGATCAATGGATATAGCAAGTAACACACATAATTCTGTCTTTTATGAACAGAAGGTTTTATGTCGAATTATAGGTGGGTTTACGATTAATATGATTTAAACTTATAATAAATCTTGTTGTACCATAACATAAGATTCCGTTGTAGTCTAGTCGGTTAGGATATTCGGCTCTCACCCGAAAGACCCGGGTTCGATTCCCGGCAACGGAATGCAGAGACTTTTTTGCCACTCTCCTTTTCTCCCAAGTCATCATGGAATCAGTTCTCCCCCTTTCTGGTTAAGGTGGGGTTTCCCATGTCTGTAGCTTCCCAATTTGGAGGCTCGTTCATATTTGTCGTTTTTAAGAAGGCATATTAGTTACCAAACCCCCTTGTACTACTGCCTCTACTTCCTGTTGCTCCTTTGTCTTTGCTTATCGTCCGAAGTAGTGGGTATATGACATTGATCATTCTCATTCCTAAAACACTACGTATCTACGTCTGTGGTCTCCTGTTTCAATTTCGAGTATTTGCAAAGATAACTTGTAGACTCGAATTCGCCAAGACAGCCTTTGTTGTTTGAAACTCAGATAGTATCAGCCTTTAATGTGAAATTTCCAGAAAACCATGTACACGACATGCTAGTAATGTGCAACTTATGGTGCTCTCATTCGGATTCCTCTGACTACAAACATATCAGTTTCATTGATCAAGAATGAAGAGGAAAGGAAATACATAGCAAAATGAGATAAAGCCAGAAGAACATCCGGTTCTTCTGCTATAAACCTAGTTCAAGCATCTGATGTTACACTTTGATTTCAAAAGATGTGGATCTCAGAAGGTCTCCATGCCAAAATCTATGTACCTGTCAGACAGTTCCTTCCAATTTACACGCATTAGACTGCCATCACAAACCAGGGAACCTCATCAATCCTTCATGGGGAGAATAAAAGAAAAAACAAAAACAGGAAGAGAAAATGACCACGGTTTATGTTTATCAAGCAGCCAACCCATGTCTCTAGTACCAATTGTTTCGTACCAACTTGACGTGAATCTGTCAGCCTTCAAGCATCCTATTATTATTCTTTCATGGCTCTTCCGAGGTACCATTTGGATAATCCTCATGACCTGCAACACCGAGTGTTCCATTTGATAACCTGGTAGAAGTTGAATAAGGGGAGTAGGTGGTAGCAGGGCTGCCTCGTGAATACCGATTCTGTGCAGCCGTGCTGCTTCTTGTCGCCTTAAGTCGAGCCTTTCTCCCCTGTGAAGATTAGTAAAAAATCTGCTTAGCAGGAACTAATCAGATTAACAAACCCCTTCCAGGCAAGTGGGTAGCTCAGTTATTTAAGGGCCCAGCATTCAAATGCAACCCTATTTACTCATTCCTTAGGTTAGATATTTACTGTTGTATGAAAGGGGGGAAAAAATCCTTTCTAGTTGATGTTTAATTTACAATACTAAAGAGGAGTAGGAAAATAACAAAAAGATGATTACCTTTCCCATGCATTTTTCCAAATGAGGAGCGAACCTTCCAGCCATAATCGATCGCCTACAGTTCATGCACTCAAATACTTCATTGGCTATAGAAGGATGAGTTTGTCCAAATATGTCAACAGTATATTTGCTGTTTGCTTCACTACTGTTACTTGGATCAGCTACCCTGGCCCTAGCTTGTGCAGACAGTCTCAATTCTTCTTCCTCTTCTTCCAAATTATGGTCAAGGCCCAGCCTTGCTATTCGATGACACTCAGATGCAACATCAACAATAATGGAATCAAGTAGGTCACTGAAGAATTGAGATGAAAGCTGCAACCGCAACCCAAAAGAAAATAAGGCACAGTGTTAATGGCAACTTTAGGCACCTGTTCTGTGATTTAACATCTGGGGATTAATATAATGATAGAAATAACTTTGTTTTAGGAGTGAATCAATTTTTCCTTTTGCTTTCTTATCGTTTTCAAACATTTCCCTTCACAAGGAGGAAAAGTCATATGGTTTAGTCAGAGATTAGCTTGTCATTTGATACAGATGCAGGTACAAATGCTGAAATCTGCATCTCTTTCATGATAACATGCTTTCAGCATATAAACGAAATATTATGTCAATTACAGAGCTCCTATTAAGAAACATAAACGAGTGCAACATCAATTTAAATCAACTTTTCGATATGCATTAACTTGAAAGAACTGTTCAGAGATGTAAAAAGGACAATAAACACCAGATTACTTCCCTTTTCAAATAAAGAATAAAATTGAACTTTAAACCTACACCAATGTCTGATAGATTTAGGATCACAACAACATGGGTTTACTGATAGTGTTTCTTGCAACACAACATGCAGAAGGAGAGTCCTATTGGAATGGGTAATTCACACAATTTTAAAACTGGAAGTTCTTACGTGCTCAATAATATAGTTGGAAAATTCAGGCATCAATTTTACTAAGATTAGCAATATGAGCTTTCACAAATGCCTAGAATCGATTACCAGATTAACCCTTTGTTGATCATTCAACAAGAAAATTTAAAACCATTCAAAGACGCGTGGGGACATGTTAATTAGAAGATATAGAACTTTCATTTTGGCATATTTACAAGAGTCACACAAGAGTCCATTTCACTTCTCCAGTTAACTGCAGTAATCCGAAATAATTCATATCTAACTTTTACAAGTTAACATTCTTAATATACTGACTTGTTGTCCACCATACATTATTTCTGCTTGAATATCTTGTCTTCTCTCTCAAAGTTTAAGCATTTTGTGGATACACTTTTCTTACCAGTCACTCTATTGTCTCCACACCCCCCCCCCCCCAACCAAAAAAAAAAAAAAACACTTAGAAACTATGGCAGCTAGATCTGTAGGAGTGCAAGTTGATCGAGTAACAATTTCCTCATTGCATGGCTATAAGGATCAATTCACACAGTGAGATTTTTGGAGGTCATCCAGTTTCATCTTATGCCGCTGACTCTATAACCAATCAAAGAAAATCAATATCATAATTATTTTACATCTGAATGTCTTAATATTGGTATACCTGGGAATGAGGAGATGTGTTGTCATCATTTGGTACTGACATGATTTGTAACAGAGGGCTCCTAGTCCAGTATGATTCAAAATGGTGGAAGTTTAATTGAAGCAATAACAACTTCAGCGTCTGCAAGAACATCAGAATACCAACAAATCAAAGGGACAAAAAACTGAGTAGACATGAAAATTGAAGGTACATGAAGGGAAATTATATTGGTACATACCGTCTATGTCATTTACAAGCAAAAATAAATTACAATAAACTTGGGGAATTGATGACCACGCAAGATACAGCATTTACCTTGACTTGCAGCCACATACTCGTGCATACTGACCCCAAAACTAACACGAAGCATGCTCAAAGTAGAAAATTTTCTTGGCTTCCAGCCTAAGCTAGCACAAGCAATGTTAAACACTAGCATTAACTTGAGTGAACAACACTAATCATATATGACTATTGATCGCTACTTGTGAACGATCTCATTTTCTCCAAAGTGTTCTGTAAGATAGTAGTAATTTTTTTCCCTGGCGCATGGCCAGCCACAATATCACTGTTTCAAAGTAACAATGTGCTGGGTACTTTATCCACTAGTAGTAGGACAGCTAAATAGATATAGGAACACTGAGCAGTAAACAAAACTCAAGCCCAAGGCATGCAGCAATTGGTCAATCAAAAGAACTTTGTTTATAATACAATAAGAATTGTTAGCAGGAATAAGATCTCAAATCAAATATGTATTGAAACTTGTATTCCAGACGGCTCCAAAGTTGTTACAAATAAAAAGTATATTTTCAATTTCATATTAACCCCAAGATCCTTTCATGTACATCTATGATCCCCCATTTTCTCTTCCAAACAATACCATTTGCGAATGCTTCTCAGAATTGCTAGTATCTCAAGAACTATGAATTGCTTGAAAAGCTTAGGAGACAAAATGGCTCAAGCAAGCAGAGATACAACCATGCCAACCAGAACCAAACCAATGGAATTTTTTTTTTAAAAATTTAGCGCAAGTAAAGACAAACCTATTGCCAGTACTGCTAAGTTTTATCAATTCTTCATCAAATTTCCTGTAGACAATATAATTTTTGAAGAATTGCATACCGCTAAATAGGGGAGACGAAAAAGAAATGTATGAAGGAACCAGCTCTCCAGATAAACAAACTAAAACAGAATTCGATTCACTCCTTTTGCCCCAAATCTAAAAGAGCACCATCTTCATCGCCGATTCTGGTTGAAGCCCTAGAAAGCATGATTTCTCTAATTTCGTTCACCGTGAGCTCCGGAAAAACAAATAGTTGGTAAAACCAAGGAAAACAGAGACAAGATCCCTGCCGGAAGATCATGAAATGCAATTATGCGAGGGCTCGAAACATATATAAAGTCTCTGCAGCAATATATATTTCATAAAATCATGCATGTGTAGCGAGATTAACATGGGAAGCGACATCTATGATCGGGTACCTTGGCCCCTATCAAAAGAAGAAACCTGGGGAATGGATCGAAACCATCAAACAACTGAAGCATAGACTAGGGAATGCTTACACCAGTACAGGAGGAAGCTGGAAACGGGAAAGGGTGAGAAAATTGTGGTCCGGTTCAAAACTGCGTCACATTGAGCCGAACCGTTCCGTTTCTACCGGCCAGTCCTCGCATTCGAGACCCGCCTGATGAGCATTCAAAATAGAAGTGTACAAATGTTTTCAAAATTAAGTAAATTTAAAAATATTTATCATTTAATCATTTAAACTTGACAATTAATTAAAAATAAGTACAAATTTTAAAAATATAATTAATAAATTAATAATTATAATATTTATTTTTATGTTTAATTAATATATATAACTTAAATTTTGAACTATAATACTTAACTATTTCGGTCAGTGTGTTTAGAATTTTCATCATTTTTTATGGTCAGCGTGTTTAGAATTTTCATCATTTTTTATATTATTTATTTTATTCTTTTTGTATGCCAAGTAAGAATAGTAATAACGGACTGACTCGCTTAGTTTTATCTTGACAAAAGTAAAAAAATAATAAAAATAATTTAATATTAAATTAAATATTTTATATCGATTCATAAGTTAATTTTTAAAAAATTCGCTTAATTATTAACTCAATTGAATATAATTTTAACTTAATTTTTTTAATCTAAGTCCAATTTATAATATGTTGTTTGTGGGGATAACAAACAAAACTGATTTTCAAGCGCGAGCTTGAATGCATACGGGCTCGAGTACTCGTTTGGAAGCTTCCTCGCTTTCGGCTAGGCAGCTTCCGCAAACTTTAAATTTGGGGTTTGTTTTATTCAAAAAATAAATTAAAATTTAAAAATTTTGAACTTTATTCATTTATAAAAAATTTTATTTTGAAAAATTCATTTTAATTTAATTTTCATACACTCACTTTTTATCAAATACTCCGAATGTCTTTGAATGCATGAAACTAATCTTTCCCCTGCCCCACAAGATATCAGCATGTTGGTATCATCCACGGGAATGGCGGGGCATCCTTTTCACGGTTTTCTAGAAGGCGAAAACCGCATAATCCGCATCTGCCCTCGCTCTAAAATGGGCTGTTAATTTAACAGTGTAAGGATAAAGGGGTAATTGCAAAACTGGGCGTGACGTGACAACAAATTACTTTTGTTGAGCCGAAAGCGACCAGGAAAATTTAATTCTTACGGGTAACATTAACATTGTTATATACTTCATATATACTTGTTTTATATCCATATAAATAATACAATATAGGGCTAGCATTGTTTTAGTGGCAATCTTTTTAAAAGAAATTAATTCCTATATTCCATTTGGCATTAAATATTATTAAAATCAGGTTGTACTTGGAAGATGTCATTCATAGTGTTTTGTAACGGTACATTTTAAAATATATAATTTTTATTTATGATCACAACTCTTTTTCCTTAACGTGGCATAGTTGATTTTGGTTTTAGCAAGTCAAACCTAAAAGTAAGATCAAATATCTGATTTATTTGATATCATTTCTAAGGATTATGTTATTTTTTATTATTATGAGATAAGACTTATACTTTACTATATATGTATCAACTTTATTTTACTGTAAGAAATAAATGCATCACCTTTGAGTACAATATCAAATAAATCTACACATCTCTGGCTGGCTTAACTGGGATAGTGATAGGGGATTTAAATTTTTAAACCTAGTGTGCTATATTTTTAGGTAAAATACATTTTGTCTTTTTTAAGTATTATAGGAGTAACACTCGTCTCATAAAATAAAAAATTTAATAGTTTACCTTATCAACTTTGTAGTTACCATTAAAAATAATTAATGGAATTAATATATTTTTTTATATTACTATAATACTTTTTACTCGTACATATTATTTATAATTTAACAAATATTATATGTAAAATAATAGTTTTTATTATAACCAAACAAATTTATAATTAATAAAAAAATCTATCTCAAACAATTTGCATACTTATTTAGATAAAATAATTACTACAAAATAAAAAAGTAACAAATATTATGAGAAATAATAGCATGTCATAAATAGTATTAAGTAGAATAAAAATAAAAAATTATTATTATTTATTACTTATGACAACTTACTTGTTAAAACTTTTGCTTTTCATACTAATATCACAAAATGTTTTCATGTAATTTAATAATTTAAATTGGTTAAAAGACTTTTGCAATTTAAGAATTGTGGTAATATAAACGAGCATATATAATTCTATTATTTATTTTTTTTTGTCATTACAAATTTGAAAGGACAAACTATTACATATTATATTTTATAAGATAAGTGTTACTACGATGATAATTTAGGAGGTAAAATGTATTTTAACCTATTTTTAAAAATATTATAGGATTTTGATAGTAAAAAAATTAAATTAAATATTTAATAATATATAATTTAATTAAATAATAATTTAAAATTCATTTATTTACATTAACTATTTTTTTCTCAAATTTATATTTTTAAATATTTTTTTATTTAAATTCAGTAAAATTTAAAATCAAACGATTCGAAATAATAGTTTAAGAGTAAAAGTAAAATTTTCTCTCATTTTTACCGCATCACACTCAACTCAAACTAATTGATATATGTTAGTTTTTTGCACAGTTTTCCTCTGCCTATCTAATTCTGTCTCCTCTGATTGGGTGCAAAGTTTTTTTTTTTAATATGAAATTATTTTTTTGAAAGAAAATGATAAATTTTTAAAAGATAAATATATTGAAATTTTCAAAAATTTGATTGGATTTGGACATACCCCCTTAAAAAAATAATAATAAAACCAAACACTCTTACCCCGACCCGAGTCTTACGGGATCCATGCTTTTCCAACTTTTTTCTTCTAGAAAAGTAGAAAATTCTATGCCGTTTTAATTACTCAATGTTTGCGTTGATATACATGTCGCAGGAGCCACGTCAGTGGCAGCAGTCAATATGATGACGTCATACTGTTGTATTTGGAGGCAATAACCTTCCTCTAATTCTAGACGGTTCTTTAGTTCGGTTGAATTTTTTTCTTTTTTCTAAAAATTTTTTAATTTTTGA